TGCGTTTTGTGCAATTCCGCCCATCGAACGATTGCCTATTAATGATTTTCACTGCTTTGTACTTTAATCTGTGCAAAAATAATTGAAACGTTAAAAAATAATTAAAAATTTCACGCACCTCCTTGACATATGCCAGTGCCAGAGTGCGATTGAACAGATTGCCGCTGGCAGACTCAAACTGTGATCCTCAGGCCTGACAGCAGCACTACTGGCAACTACTAAAACTCAGTTCTGCTAGGTTGGAAGGCGGGTAAGGCAGTGGTGGCAGGGGGAGCGAGAGGAAGGGCGAGGACAGGGGTAGCGGTTTAGTTTTGAAAGGTCGTAAAGGAGGAGAGGGGACGGGTTCGTTCCAAATCCACTGGGTTCCTAAATCTTCTGGGATAGCAACAGGATGAAAAGGACTGTTATAACTTGTACATATGAAGGACATAGTAGAGTGCTGTTATGTAAGTTAGTCAGATGTGTCGACGCTTTTGTTCAGCAAGGTTACATTTGCACTGCAGCAGTCCAGAACTTTCTTACTCGCCTCAGAACTGTACTCCGAGCATTCACTGTGGCACCGAACTCGATCTGGAGTTTACCTGATCTCGAATTCTACCCAAATCGTATGTATGACTTAGTGGACCGAAACGTCTTAACTCTTTCGCACTTATTTTTTCCACACCAGTTATATTTCTGCATCTATCAATACCTAGTTCGCTCCAGTGCGTACCCTGTTTAATTTCTTAATATTATTTGTATGCTACAATCAGTTTATCAGTTTATTATCAGGCGTTTTCAGACAAATTTTTGTAGATCTGGAAGATTTTTTAAACGATTTAAATTTTTTTTACCTCAACTTGTCTGATTGTTATGACTTTGTGTAAATCGTGAATGAGTGAGTTTCTGTAAGCCACGAGTGAGTTTTTTTTTGGTGCGATTTTTGCTGTCATCCATTTCCAGTTCAACTATCAACGAAGCTGGGAAGCTGAAACTTTTGACGCAAGTTCCCACCCTTTTTTGTGCGGTGCTTTTTTTTACATAAGTACAGGATGAAATCATTCAAAAAAAAGCATGTTCGCATCTGCAAACTTCCGCGGTTGATGTGACCGAAGCTAAATATCTGGTAGTCTGTTTGTTGGTAATTCTGAGTGTCTTCACAGCCGAATTCGGGTTCCTGATGATATTTGAAGCAATGAGCACAAGGATTTTAATCGAATTAATTGCGATTTGAAACTTTTCATCTATCAAAACTTAGAAGCTAAATTATCAGTTTTTTTTATAATATGGTGTGGGTTTCAATTTTTAATATTTCCGATATATTACACTGTTATTAAAAGTTTACTGGTGAAAAAGATCGGTAATGCTATTAAAGGACAAAAAAGAAGTGATAAAGTAGAAAAATGAAGAAGGGAAGAAAAACGATGAAAGTGGGAAATGGAAAAGGGATTTGGGAGTATAGAAATAATTGTAATTGGTAAGAAATGTTTCGGTCCATTAAAAGTCATATACATTTCTTGCCGTTACCACAATTGGACCTTGTCAGTACGACGATTGTGATAACTACTTAAGCGCGCGTTTACTTGCTCGATGTATGCGGCACAGTTGGCGTTTTTTTGTTTCAGCCTCTGCGATGGAAAACCCGCCAATCGATCTCACTCTATGTTTGTACCATCTGAAACTCATGACCGATTTACAGAAAATTCACTATAGGAAGAGAATTTGGCGGAAGATTACGACGACGATGACGATTTGGAAGATGGGACGGAGTATGTGCGCATAGTGCCGCAGCCGCGTGGCTTGCTGGTGCCACGTCGTCGAACTCGTGCTCGTATCCCTGTTCACAGTCGCATTTCGTATCCGGTTTGGCGTAGCAGATTCAGTGGTGGCTTTATACGCAGAATTGATGTTGGAAGGTTTGTCGTTTTCGCTTCCCCAAAAAAATTTTTTTGATGATTTTTCAGATTTAATGCAAAAAATACGAGCCAGCACAACACAGTGGGTTATCGTGCAGTAGTTCAAGAATACAGTTCCCTCCAGTGCGACAACCAATCCCTTTACGATTCTTTATTCTTTTCGCTAGTAAATTGGTACCCGCCATCAGTTTGGTGCTTCGAAACGACCATCGTTAAGGAGAGATTCGCCGGCAGCCATGCCAACAGGCCGGCGGTGGTTGCTGTTGACTGACATTCGATACCATTCGAGCTACTTCCCAAGTGCTTCCGCCTTTCATTAAAAGCAATAATTGGCCAACGCACGGGCTGTCCGGTGCGAGCTTTTTTTGCAGAGTTCCCCGCAGTTTTTGTCGCTACCGGCATCGGTTTTTTCGGCAGATGCTTCCATTTGAAAGAATATCAGATTAGCCGCCAGGACTGTCAGGAAACATCCCATCAAAATTCCAGTCTTCTAGCTCCTCACGTTCTCGAGTAAGTAACTTACCCGGAAGGAACTTTTCATGGGCCTGCACGCAGGTACCACGCTTACCCGCGGGCAGGGTTTGAACTCGTTAATACCCACTTAAGCAGGGAACACCCCCCTAAGATTTCAGCTCTCTAGCTTCTGAGAACCCCGAGTTATGAAGTTACGCGGGAGAAATTTTGGGGGGCTCGTACGCGTACCACGCTTACCCGGGGGCTGGATTTGAGCTCATCAGTACCTGTTTGGGCGGGGAACATCCCCATAAAATTTCAGCTCTCTAGCTTTTCTGGTTCGCGAGTTAACAGCTTACCCGTAAAAAATTTCGGCGGGGTCTTACGTGGGTACCA